AGATCCCACATATAAGTGATATGATTACGGAATTTTTCTTTCTCTTTCTGGCTTACTTCACTTAGAATAATGATCTCCAGTTTCATTCATGTTACTGCAAATGGCATTATTTTAATTCTTTTTTATGGCCAAATAGTATTCCATTGTATACATATACCACAACTTCTTTATCCAGTCACCTGCCAACGGATACTTAGGTTGCTTCCATATCTTGGCTATTGTAAATAGTGCTGCTATGAACAATGGGGTGCATGTATCTTTTTTTGTTTGTTTGTTTCTTTTGTTTTTAATTTTTTTAATTTTTAAATTTTACTTCAGAGTCATTTATTTATTTATTTTTAATTGAGATATAGTCAGTTTACAACATTGTATCAGTTTCTGGTGTACAGTGTAATGTTTCAGTCATACATACACATACATGTATTCCTTTTCATATTCTTTTTCATTTTCATTATAGGTTACTACAAGGTATTGAATATAGTTCCCTCTGCTATACAGTAAGAACTATACATATTTTATACATAGTATTTAGTATCTGCAAATCCAAAACTCTGAGTTTAGCACTCTTCCCTTCCCTCTGGTAACCATAAGTTTGTTTTCTATGTCTATGATTCTGTTTCTGTTTTGTAAATAAGTTCATTTGTGTCTTTCTTTTAGATTCCACGTATAAGTGATATCATATGGTATTTTTGTTTCTCTTTGTGTCTTACTTCACTTAGAATGATGATCCCCAGGTCCATCCATTTTGCTGAAAAAGGCATTATTTTATTCCTTTTTATGGCTGAGTAGTATTCCATTGTATATACATACTGCATCTTCTTTATCCAGTCGTCTGTCAATGGACATTTAGGTTGCTTCCAAATTTTGACTATTGTAAGTAGTTCTTCTATGAACATTCAGGTGCATGTATCTTTTCAAATTAGTTTCTCTGAATATATGCCCAGGAATGGAATTGCTCGATGATAGGGTAAGTCTATGTTTAGTTTTTTAAGGAATCTCCATATTGTTTTCCACAATGTCTGCACCAAAGTACATTCCCACCAACAGTGTAGGAAGGTTCCTTTTCTCCACACCCTCTCCAGCATTTATTGTTTGTGGATATTTTGATGATGGCCATTCTGATCAGTGAGAGGTGATACCTCATTGTAGTTTTGTTAAATGACTTTGAATTCAAAGATTTATCCTTCTGAAAAATTGAGAGTTAGGCAGTTTACTCAAAGGGTATACTTTCCAAATGAGTCATCTTGGCATGTGTCCCTGAGTCTGAGATTGTGTCACAATTCAAAGAAAAATGAAAGGCAAATACACGATGTTCAGTAATCAGTTCTGTGCTTTGAACAAGAGGCTTTTGACCTCTTGAAATGAGTACTGACCAGGATAGAAAAATAGACATATGGGCAATGTTGGAATATGTTAACAAGACAGTTGAAAGCAAAAGAAAGACCAGATAAAAACCTAACTTATGTGTTAAGAAATCACTTTTGTCTCCAAAGGGAGATTAATCATATCTGCAAGTGGAAATACACACGTTCCGTTTTTGCTGGAGTGATCTATTTGCCAATCAACTAACTGTTCAAAATACCTTTG